GAACTATTTCGATTAAAATGTTAAAGTGATTATATAAGAATTAGATGAGTCACTGTCAATAAAACAATTCGCGGAAGAGGAGTATTCAAAATATCGGTACTATTAATATGGGACTAATCAGATGACTGAAGCCGTTCTCCATCGACAATTGATTTTATGTTCATCATTTATCTACAATTCTTATCTACAGTATATTCACTAGAGAATATTTACACTCACAATTAAAAAAAAAGTTACCAACAACGACATCTAAATAGCTGTGGGAAAAACAAATTATTAGCCTGTTGCTCTCTGCCGGAATAGTGATCGTAACTGAACAATAATGATGCAGCAACACGCTTGGTCAACTTGTAAAAATTTAGAGCTTTCTGTTGTTTGCCCATAAAACAAATTTTGGAGTGCTATACAGTACGATTTCAAAACATTGTCATCGTAAAGAAACAGCTATAATATTGAAAACAAACAACTTGAAACAAAATCGGTGTACGGATTTAAATAAATATTTACAATAGATTTTAATGGTCAACTTGTCANNNNTCTTATACACATCTAGATGTGTATAAGAGACAGATAGACATGCAAAACAAACATTAGCGGTTAGCTGTATAATATCTTTGAATATCATTTTAGACTGATTCATTCATATGCTTGGTCATCTTGTAATCATTTAGAATTCAACAGTTTTTAATAATAGGGTCCGTATCTGAACACTACTAGACGTAGTATCAAATTATAGTTGCCATAGACCCGGTTTCATACACACTCGCTTAAGTAAATTTAAAAGGAAACTGTTTTTCCAATTTTTCTTATTGTTAAATACTCCTATGCAATACTGTAGGCCCCTGGTGTAAAATTTACAGATCAATTAGACACTCTGTAAAGATCGATTATGCCCTTTTATATAATAAGGCTATAGGCCTAATGTGTGTGAAGTACTGACTTTGTTAATATCGAATGGGTGAAATTGCGCACAAACTTCAAACTCTTGGCCTAACATACAATGCAAGAGGAAAGGATATCACGTTTTCACCAAAAAGGATTTTCCACGGCCCACGCACAGAGTAGACCTTCTAATAGTATGGCCCAAAGCGAACGAGTTTCTGGTCTCGAAAATCCAGAACACTTCGTTAAGGCTTAATACAGTACAAAATACTGTATTACTGTACAGTATATAATTAATTGAAAAAGCTTTAAAATGAAGGACTTTTAAATGAAGTTTATGTATATATACTAATATTTTGCGAATCTTGGGTTTTTAAAAGCAATCTTGGGATTTTTTAGACCCAATCTTGAATTTTGATTTTCCCTAGTGGTCACGCTGCATTTAGAGACAGAATTATACCCCGACGACATCAAACTAGTGTAGACCTAGGCGTAAGTACAGTAAGACGTACTACTAGGCCTAGGCTTTTGTTGTAAAAGTTGAAGTGCATGTACAGGATGCGCCATAGGCCTATATATTTAAAAAAAATAATACATTTTGTTAATTATTATTGGTTGCCGTGGGACCTAGGCAGTCAGGCCAGCTTTGCCGTCGAAATCCTGGGATTCGACGATGACGTCAGTACACATGTTTACAAACGCCATTGATTGGAATGAAAATAGACGCGCTGAATTTCGTTTGTTTTATGAAAGATAGTATTTATCGAACATTTATCTATATAAAAACAAGATTAATATTGTAGAAATTGTATTTCTAAAGATTCATA